TCACCTGTTTGTCAGTCTGGATCTTGAAGTCCCATAGGATCTTAGCTCGGTCATTCTCAACTACCTTAGGAGGTGTCTTCCATTTTGACCTTGGGACTTCCAGCCCATACTCATGGCAGATGTTCCTGTACACTATGACAGCTACCTGGTTGTGGCGTTCCATGTATGCACTTCCTGCCTGCATTTTACACCCTGCTGTTATGTGCTGTATTGTTTCAGAGGCATCTTTGCACAGTCTGCATTGGGGGTCCTGCCTGGTGTGGTAGACCCTGGCCTCTATTGATCTTGTACTGAGTGCCTGTTCTTGTGCTGCCATGATTAGTGCCTCTGTGCTGTCCTTCAGTCCAGCCTTTTCCAGCCACTGGTAGGATTTTTTGATGTCAGCCACTTCTTCTATTTGTCTGTGGTATACGCCGTGCAGCGGCTTGTCCCTCCATGATGGTTCTCCTTCCTCTTTCTTGTCCTCACTTTCGGTTTTCTCCTGCCTGAGGTATTCACCAATTCATTTGTCTTTGGGGGCCATCTTTCTGATGTACTCCCGGATCTTAGTTGTTTCATCCTGGACAGTGGTCTTGAAACTCACCAGCCCTCGGCCTCCCTCGCTACGCTTGGTATACAGTCTCAGGGTGCTGGATTTGGGGTGGAACCCTCCATGCATTGTGAGGAGCTTTCTAGTCTTGATGTCAGTAGCCTCTGTCTCCTCCTTTGGCCAGTTTATTATACCAGTGGGGTATCTGATGACTAGCAGCGCATATGTGTTGATGGCTTGGATCTTGTTTTTCCCATTCAGCTGACTTTTCAGGACCTGCCTTACTCTTTGTAGGTATTTGGCTGTGGCTGTCTTTCTTGCCATCTCCTCGTGGTTTCCGTTGGCCTGTGACACCCCAAGGTATTTGTAGCTGTCCTGAACACCTGTAATGTGGACTTCTGGTAGTTCAACCCCCTCGGTTCTGATCATCTTCCCTCTCTTTGAGACCATGCGACCGCACTTGTCCAGTCCGAATGACATCCCAATGTCGTTGCTGTAGATCCTGGTAGTGTGGATCAGTGAGTCGATGTCAGGACTAATAGCCTTCATCAAGAACTCAATGAAGCTGTGGAAAACAAGTCTGGAAGCCAATGCAAAGCCAATAGCACAAATAGTGTGTATATATATATATACATATATATATATATATATATATATATATATATATATATATATATATATATATATATATATATATATATATATATATATATATATATATATATATATATATATGTATATATATATATACACACACACACATATATATATATATATATATATACACATATATATATATATATATATATATATATATATATACACATATATATACACATATATGTGTATATATATGTGTATATATACACACACACATATATATATATACCCATATATATATATACACACACACATATATATATATAAACATTTTGCATTTAAGATACATAGAAAAGTTTTAGTTTCACCTGTCTTAATTTCGTAAAAAAAAAAAATTTGCTTATCTGATTATTAATGGATTAAACAATAAAATAATCGACAGATTAAGATTAGTTTCAGCCCCAATAAAAACTCTGATGAAGTTACTTCTTGATTGCTATGAAAACAGAAAGTTTAAACTTAAAACGTGATCTGAAACATTAAGCTTCTTCTCTGACTCTGAACGTTGCCAGGCTACCGTCTCTCTGAGCCGACATGTGGCAGAAATTCACTTAAATGTTCTTTATTCTCAGTGGGATGAAGCTGCTGACACCAAGCAGAGCCTTAACCTTCAGAAAATTAAACAGCAGAACATTCATGGGACTTGTTCACGGCTCCAGCATTAGTCATCCCCCCAAAAAAACTGATCCCAGCTACATTCAGGGCGTGTGAAATATTCCCACTGCCTTGGAGATGGGAAGCAGTTTATCTTCCATGCAGACTTTTCCCCACAAACCATGACTTCAAGCTTTTTGCAGCGTAATGTCCTAAGATCTCAGAGAGATCACTGAGCCTCCAGGTCAGACATGTTTTAGACTAATTCACCAAAGAAACTATTTACTCTGCTGACTTGCTTATAAACAAAAAAGAAGAAAAGCCAGAGACTTTGGAGACTTTTTAACAATTAATATGGTTAAATTTGACTGCGTTTAAATACTAGAAGAGAGGAAAGAAACTTCAATAGAACTACAGGAGGATTATTCTGATTATTGTTTGGAGAACAGGAAGGATTTTAGTTTAGCACTTTGCCAACTGCAAATATGGAAACAGAGCAAACATGTAGAGAAACTGAACTTTTTCTTCTTTTTTTTATGTAGACTTAGACAACTTTTATTGTCATTTTGTAAACACAGAGCAAAATTTCGGTCAGTACAGCTTTTTAGACAGTAAATGAACATTTCCATTCCATAGTGCAGCAGTGATAAAATATGAACAGTGTGGGAACAAGCTAACCCCACCAACTCCACTGCATCACATGGTAGTGGCCAGTGGCGCCACCAGGGGGGTGGCCAAAGATGGCTCGTGTAAATTGTGGTACCATTAGTTTAGCATTTGCAATGTAACATTAAAAAAATAACGTAATAAACCAAGAGATGAGTCGGTGTTTACTGAAGCCATGATTTCAACAGGAAGGTTTGCAACAATAGTAGATTCAAACCAGCGGCGGCTGCCCAATAGTGGTAGCCTCGTGAGACCATCCTGATCTCGCGAGCTTTGAAGATTTCACTCGCTAATCACTTTGGAGACTCTCGGTTGAAGAAAATTTGGAGCCGTTCACCAAACGAACGTCCAATCAGCGTTGGCTTTGAGGCGGGTTGAGGTGTGACGCAACAAGAAGCGCAACAGTTCAGTCTAAAGAACATGGCGGCTTCAGCCAATGAAACTAGCGTTAGCGTGGCTATCGAGCAAGTTTTATCGGAATTACAGAGTATTTCTTCACTGAAAGGAGAGCAAAACACTGCTCTGGAGGCTTTTCTCAGAGGAAAAGATGTTTTTGCTCTTCTCCCGACTGGTTTCGGCAAGAGTTTGATCCATCAATTGGCTCCTCTTCGTCGTCGCTCTGTTAGTACGTCATATGCTTCGTTGATCTGATTGGTTTATTTGGCCCGTCTATCACCATCATAGGCCAATCAGCTAACCAGTATTTTCGCCCCTTCCCAAAATTACTTCTACGGAAGGTTTCCAGATGGATATGCGGAGCAAATCCATCTGGCGGAGTCAGGTTACAATAGAAGGCACTAGGGCAACACCCGACACCTAGTGGCCCTAATTGACAAAATTAAAAAAATGTTAAATTTTATTTCTAATGTGTGCAAGATAAATATTTAATCTTTAATGACTAGTAAGTCAGTCATCTGCTTTCTCCTCATATTGGTGACGTATTTCCGCCCTAGGGCGCAAAAATCTTTGCACATAGACTCTCGTTAATAGATGTCCATGCGCAGCAGCTCCTCTGCAATACAGAAATATAGGAGAGCTCTGAGTGCAGCTAGGCTGCAACCTGAGGTGACAGGAAGTGTATTAGATCATCACCTCCAGCCACAGTGCAGACATTTAGAGAGAGAAAGATGATGCAAGAACTGTCCTTTTCCAGGACCTGGGTTTGGGTTAGCTATAAGGCTAGGCTAACTGCATGCAGTGAGGCTAAAGCTTTATTCTGCTTTCCCTGCCTCCTTTTTCAAACATCAGGATCTGAGCCAGCGTGGATAAAGACAGCTGGGACTGATTTAAAGCACTTTGTAGAAAAGGCAAAGAAGAATGAACAATCTGGGATTCTCATGGAAAATAATAGAATATATTCTACTTTTTCTCGATGTTTGTTAGTTTGCATAATTGCTCATAAATAAACACATTGTTGGAAAATAAATAGTTTTTATATATTAAAGAAATATAAAGCTGGTAAAGATCTTCTCCATTATTAAACTGTGATATTATTTTTTTAGGTTTGTGATACAATATTGGACCATGAAAAACACAGATTTACCTTCACAGCCTCAGAAGGGCAAGATTTATGTTCAAAAAGTAAACCTGTTCATGAAATTATGTTTTGTTTTGATAATGTTATTTGCTGTTGACATTCATATAAATATACTGGTGTGATAACTTTTGATTTGTTTGATTGGTTTTCGGTATATGTCCATTTAGAATTTATAGCGCCCCCTGGTGAAAACTCCACCAGCCGCCAATGATTCAAACCCTGACATTATTAGTCCCGCCCCCCCATGAAACATTTCTTGAGGCGCCACTGGTAGTACCAGCATCATGGTATGGGGACGCTTTTCTTCAGCAGGGACATAGATAATGTAGAATCCAAAGAAAGACGTGGAAATTGTCGCTTCAGCTTTCTTTTTGTGAGGCTAATTCCAAACCCTGGTTCCATTTCCTCCCATTTCTAAAGTTTAAACTGCAATCTGAACGGGGCCGCCTTTTACAGCTGCTTTTCGTATCTATGCTTCTTTTTCTATGTCTGCTTCTGTCTCCTTGAACCCCAGTGGGCCTCAGCAGATGGCAGCTCACACTGAGCCTGGTTCTAATGGAGGTTCCTTCCTGTTCAAAGGGAGTTTTTCCTCTCCACTGTCGCTACAAGCATGCTTAGTGTGAGGGATTGCTGAGGAATTGCCGATGCAATCAACTGGTTTTCCTTAGATAGAAAACTTTAAATCAATCTGACTGGATGATCTGGTGAGCTGGAAAGTGGCCTGAGATGACATGATGTGAATTGGAGCTATAGAAATAAACTGAATATAATTGAACATGTTGGTCTGTGAATAAAACTCCAGAAAAATAATTGGACATTAAATTATAAGAACAATCATTTAAGGTTATGTATCAAATAATAAACTCTGAGATGTGTTCCCATCTTCCTACATGTGTCTAATCATCATCATTACCAGCATCAGATTTCCTTCTAAAGCCTTTAATAAAAGCAAAGTGCTGAATCGGAAGCTCTGCTCTGTGGCCCCTGAGCAGGATCCTCTCCTCCTCTACTGACCTGCTGGTAGTTCTCATCCTCTGGCTGGAAGCTCTTCTCAGTGGGCTGAAACCTGAGGTTGATGTGGGGGAAATTATGAAGCCAGTAAGTCCACCAGGGCGCAATGTAATCCACGCGAGTCAAAGACATCCCTGCCCGGACTGGGGATAAAAAAAAAAAAAAGTTGCCTGGATGATTAGCCTTTCTCTCAATCCCTGAATGAGGCGCTCAGCTCCGCGGTCCCGAGATTCTTCATCAAGTCTCACATGAAACAAAGAGAAAAGATCAACAGAGCAGAAAGGAACCGATCAACCTCAGGAACCTGCAGGATTGCTAAACCTTCCCCCTGAAGGACTAAACTCACTCTGCGCTCATGGCTCCGCGTCCGTGGAGTGGACCCCCCCACCCAACACACACAAAACCCGACCCACAGCGCTGTCAGCAGCGGGAGCGCGCATTGGGGACAAGAGGCGACACGGGGGCGCGCACATCGTGGTCCGCGCGTGAGTTAAAATGAACTAATCCCAGTAAAACTATAAACCTGTTCATCTAAAGATTTAGTTTAACGGATAGAAAATCATTTTAAATTAGAAGCGGTGCTGCTTTATGGACTCTATTGTTAGATTATGTGGAATATCTGCACTGCCATCTAGCGGCCAATTAGGACACTTACAACCAGAGGGTTTGGGAAAGGCTGACCTGACAGGTTAATATGAGGCCAGTGGCGGATGGGGGGGGGGGGGTTCAAATTCAAAATAGACCTACTGTATACCAAGTTATCACAGCAGTTTGTTTTTATGAATGCAAACCATAAAAACATTATATAAATACTTTATATAAGCAAAATATAATTTAAATATAATTTAACCCACCTCTTTTCTTTGGCTTTGTATGGAAGAGGATTAGGGCCACTGGGAAAAAAAAGAAAGTTAACTGATTTTTAAATTTTAAAAAAGTCTGAATTCTGAGATTAAAGTCATAATTCTGACTTTTTTCTCAGAATTCTGACAATTAAAGAAGTCAGAATTCTGAGAAAAAAGTCAGAATTATTACTTTTTTCCCATGTTAAACTGAAATAAAATTTAAAAATCAGTTAACTTTTTTGTTCTTCAGTGGCCCTAATCCTCTTCCGTACTTTTTTCTCTGAATTCTGACTTTAGTCTCAAAATTCAGTCAGAATTCAGAGATTTCCCACGTTAAACTGAAATAAAATTTAAAAATCAGTTCACTTTTTTTCTTTCAGTGGCTCTAATCTTCCATACTTTTGACTTTTTTCTCAGAATTCTGACTTTAATCTCAGAATTCTGACTTTTTTCTCAGAATTATGACTTTTTTCCCATGTTAAACTGAAATAAAATTTAAAAATCAGTTCACTTTTTTTTTTCAGTGGCTCTAATCTTCCATACTTTTGACTTTTTTCTCAGAATTCTGACTTTAATCTCAGAATTCTGACTTTTTTCTCAGAATTATGACTTTTTTCCCATGTTAAACTGAAATAAAATTTAAAAATCAGTTCACTTTTTTTTTTTCAGTGGCTCTAATCTTCCATACTTTTGACTTTTTTCTCAGAATTCTGACTTTAATCTCAGAATTCTGACTTTTTTCTCAGAATTATGACTTTTTTCCCATGTTAAACTGAAATAAAATTTAAAAATCAGTTCACTTTTTTTTTTTCAGTGGCTCTAATCTTCCATACTTTTGACTTTTTTCTCAGAATTCTGACTTTAATCTCAGAATTCTGACTTTTTTCTCAGAATTATGACTTTTTTCCCATGTTAAACTGAAATAAAATTTAAAAATCAGTTCACTTTTTTTTTTTTCAGTGGCTCTAATCTTCCATACTTTTGACTTTTTTCTCAGAATTCTGACTTTAATCTCAGAATTCTGACTTTTTTCTCAGAATTATGACTTTTTTCCCATGTTAAACTGAAATAAAATTTAAAAATCAGTTCACTTTTTTTTTTTCAGTGGCTCTAATCTTCCATACTTTTGACTTTTTTCTCAGAATTCTGACTTTAATCTCAGAATTATGACTTTTTTCCCATGTTAAACTGAAATAAAATTTAAAAATCAGGTAACTTTTTTGTTCTTCAGTGGCCCTTATCCTCTTCCGTACTTTTGACACCATGTAGAGTGTTGATTTTATGTAGACACATGTTGATTTTACTACATACACATGCATATTTTTATCCTGTGCGGGCAGTGCTTTTATTTTATTTTATTTGCTTTTATTTATTTTATCTTTTTTGTGCAGCACTTTGGAAACCTTGTGTTTATTGAAATCGTGCTATATAAATAAGGTGGATTGGATTAATGTCCAGGTTTACTTTTGTACATAAATCTTGCCCTTCTGAGGCTGTAAAGGTTAATCTGTGATTTTTTTTTTTTTTATGGTCCAATATTGTGTCACAAACCTAAAATAATAATGTTCCAGTTTAGCAATGGAGAAGCTGTTAGAATTTATATTTTCTTTAATATATAAAAACTATTTATTTTCTGAGAATGTGTTTATTCAAGAGCAATTATGCAAACTAACAAACATCTAGAAAAAGTAAATTATATTCTATTATTTTCCATGAGAATCCCAGATTATTCATTCTTCTTTCTGCCTTTTCTAAAAAAAAGTGCTTTAAATCAGTCCGACTGTCTCCAGTTTGACTGTAGATGTTTTCCATAAAGGCTGTTTGATGGATGGAAAATGTTTCCAAAAATAATTTCTTTAAGTAAAGCTTGGATGGAGATTTATTTTTTCCTTCTGGGGTTTTAATTTAGGAGCTTTTCCATCGATGCCATTGTTACCTTTGCCTCTTTCTCACTGTTAAACCATGAGCTCTAATTGAGGAAGTGAGATCCTGTTGTTGTGAATAACTTTGTACCCCTCCTGTTAAGTCATTAATGCCCTGTTAAAGTAATTGTATATCCTGCACATTTTTTAAGTGTATGACTAGCAGGTGGCCCATCTACAGATTCTACTACCTTGAATTCAGGGATACTAGAATAAAAATAGAGATTAAGCAGCTGAATAGAAATACACAGGTCTGATATTTTCAGCATGTCAACTCTTGAAATGTCTCATCATTTTATAGGCATTGTGAAGCACAGTGGCGGTTCTAGACCAAATGTACCAGGGGGCCAGGAGGGGGCCAGCATGTTTTCATGGGGGCCCAGAAAAGCATGAAATAAAAAACAGGGTTTCAATATATTAAGAGAGCTGCATAAAGTTACATTTCTATTCAATTAGGTTTAATTAAAACTATATTTCTTATTAGGCCAACATACATTCATAATTTAGGAATTTTACATATTTTGGACTTTAAGTCAAAATGACCGTTGTCGATAAAATCAGAATAAGAAATCAAGAAAAAACTATAAATTCATCTGTAAAAATTAGAGCATTTTTTAAATTTGTTTTGAAAACAACATTTAGCAGATAAATGAAAACTTGGATCCTATCTCAATACCGCTGAAGCTATTGTTTCTAAATAATAAGTAAGACATAATTTGTAAAGAAAAATAAAAGGACATAAAATAGATCCAAAGGACCTATCAGTAACCGTGTCTTTTCCAGCACATCATTAGAATTTCTTGGACTATTATGTCTTCAGTGCAGGGGCACTGGCCCCCATTGGCCCCTGTCTAGAACCGCCCATGGTGAAGCATCAGTTATGCATTTGGAGGCACCCAGTCTGCATAAAAAGATGTCTTTGATCACAATATTAACCTAGCTGCTATTTATCACCAGCACAAAAAAAAAAAGAATAAAAAGAAAGGTTTTTGGTGGCAGCAGATTCAGCATCATCGTCAATTTATTGACGTACTCGTATTTCGACCTGTGCCAGCGTGCTTTGGCGTGCTCATAACTTATCCAACGTATGCCAGCATTTTAGCCAGATTTTCGTACGTCAGACATAAGCTGATCTACGTCATCAAGGTGTGACAGGAGCTTTGGCCTGCAATGTCCAATACCTGCCTGTGTCTCTGAAAGGGGGGTCGTTAGAGAGAATTGTTGGCCTGGGTGAACAGACGGTCTTCTGTTCCCCTGTAAGGAGGTGGGAGTTGCAATGAAAGCCAAAACAAGGCCTTGTTTTTGGTCAACTCTATAAAACCTGGAACTCAATGCTATTTCTGACATTTTGAATTAGAAAAGCTTCCTGGATGGAAGAGAAACATCTTCAAACTTGGAAACAAAGTCCAGAGGATTGTTGAACTTTTTTTGGAATACCTGGGAATGTTTCTTTGTCTCCACTGGTTTTTCTACAAGCTTTACAATATAAATTAACTTCTTTAATTAGTTAGGAAATAATGCAACTCCCTTCCTACTCAGCTGCTTATTATAAATCAAATGTGGCATTGTTTACATAAAACTCCATTAGAAACTCAGTTTAAGGCTGAGAAAGATGCAATTTCAGAAAATTTAATCTGTTTAAATCAGACGCCCTTAATGTTGGGTTGGGAGGAAGAACCAAGCTGCTCAGAAACCTTTAACACAATAGTTTAAACACATTCCTACATGAAGCATAATATTCGGTTTCTTTGTAAATGAGGAAATTTGAAGGTTAAAGCGATCAATACCATCAACCCTGAACTTCAGAGTAATATTAGGAATCTCATCCTGTGACCAGATATTAAAGCCATCAGTTTTAATCCTTTTTTACTGTAGTTTGTCTGAATTATTCCTAATTCATTTCTTCTCTGAACTTTAGGATATTTGGCTGCTGGGTAATATTTTACTCTGCAGACTAAAAACATAACAGGCTGGACAGTAATAGTAGAATCCATCAATTCTACAGGAAATAAGTCCACCGTTTTCTCCACCCTGGCACTCCAGGGTTTCCGACAGTAATTAGAATTGATTAAATGTCAATTATTTGTTTAATTAAGGCCTTAATTGGCATTAAAATTGTGATAATTGAGGCATTTAAAATGCTTTATATATCAGATAGAACTAGTTCCGTGTGCTTGCACAGAACTGCTTCGGAAAAGAAGCTTGAGTCGGAGAAAAGCTAAGAAATAGGGAAAAGGCAAATCTTAACTACAGTGGTCATGGGTGCTTGTTTATGGCATTAAAATTATTCAATAGTATTAAAAGAGCATTAAATTAGAGTTACTCATTCCTGAATAAACTCTGAACTCAACCTGATCTTTAAAGGCTCAGACCTGAAGCAGCTCTACTTCATTTGGTTTAATTGTATTAAAATGACCGAGCTGTTTTTAATGTACAAAATCATTTATCTTAGTCAAAGGATCTACATCATGTACCTTCTGGTATCTGTAAATACCACACTTTAGAGATCAGTAAAAGTATTTACTCTTTAATTAATTCTTAGGTATTTACTGCTTTGGTGACACTAAAAACTCCAGCAGAGAATGAGATTAAAATCCCACATACAATAAAACGCTTTCGTACAACACCGAGAAATATTTA